AAAAATTACTAAATTTCCTTTACCTTCTACTGCCTTTAAAGTCTTTGAGGGATTAAAAGGAGATAATTCCAACTCAACCATCACTTCAGTGAATTCTGACATTCCCCTAGAATTAGAGACCGACGCTTCCAACCATTCCATAGCTACCACATTGAGGCAATTCGAGCGCCCTAGAGTGTTCTTCTCCAGAACATTGTCAAAATTAAAGCACAGGCATTCAGCTGTCAAAAAGGAGGCTTATGCCATAGTCGAGGCACTAAAAACATGGACACATTTCTTAATTAGTCACTGCTTTAAATTAATCACTGATCAAAATTCAGACTCTTTTATGTTTAATCCCAAGATGTCAAACAAAATAAAAAATGAAAAGATAACGAGATGGAGGGTAGAGCTCTCCTGTTTTTCATTTGACATTTTCTGTTGGTCAAGAAAGAAAAATGCAGTGGTGGATATGCTATCAAGAGTATGTGAATCAATAAAGAGCACCAATGATCTACAAAAAGTTTGTAACAATCCATGTTGTCTAGGTATCACATGGATGATGATAGATGTGGTTCGAAGCCAGAATTTTCAAACCTGAACTAGGAAATCTTGTAAAAGCTACACAGTCATTTGAGAGGCTGGGCATGGACTTTAAGGACCATCTTCCATCTAAATTCAGAAACAAATACCTACTGTCATTGATGAGTATTTGCGATTCCTTTTTGCCTTTCCCTGTTCAGATACAAGTGCAGCAATAGTCATACACTGTCTTTTCTCCTTCCTCTCAGTATTCAAAGTGCCAGCTTATATTCATACTGATTACAAGACCTCTTTATGTTCAATCAATGAAGAAGATTCCTATTAGTACATGAGCGCTGTAAGTCAGACTATCCCATACAGAATGGACAGTGTGAGAGATTAAATAGCTTAATATGGAAGACTGTACAGTTCGTACTTGAAAGCCAAAACCTTCCACTTAGACATTGGGAAGACATAATAACCGAGGCTCTGTATGCTATAAAAACATTATCATATACAAGAACTAATGCAAAAGGTTTTAAAAAATTTCCAAGGCAAACCTCACCTTGGATCTGCCTCCCTCTATGGTTATCACAGATAGGTAATGTTCTACTTGGAAACCATGTTCGACAAAGCAAGTATGATTCTCCTGTAAGATGGAACTGCTCGAGACGAAACCACTCTATGTGCACATCCAGCATCCAGACAGGAGATAGTTGAATGTTTCCCTCAGAGATTTGGGCCCTACCAGTGAGTTATCAAACCAGAAGGAAGAGCAGCTCTCCCCTGAAGCAATATCTCTCTTTCTTGATGACACAATGCCATTTGATTTTCCTGAAGAACAAGGCCTCGATATTGATGATTCAGAGATCGACACCAGAACAGCTCCCTCAAAATAATCATATACTACCACAGACTCTGATAATCAGCTCTCAGAATCAGAGTGTCCCACTCCAAGAAGGAGACATAAACAATATGAAATAAAATACACCTGTTCCCGCAACACCTAAAATCCCTAATCAGCTGCCACTGAGATGATCCCAAAGAATTGTAAGGAGACCCAGTCACCTGGATGATTTAGTGTTGGATTAGGAGAAAACTGTGGTGAACAGCCCCATAGAAGCAAGTGAGCCAGAGTGGCTTGCATCTGGTGTATAGGAAAATATGGTACGTGACATCAGAAAGTTTGCTCCGTAAAAATGTCATTACTCTCCTGTCCAGTCATTCTAGCAATATGTGCAGTGATGAGGTTTTTTTGTACAGTTTGGCATGTTTCCATTAATAGCAAGTCATGTGCTGATTGGTCAATTTGCCTGTGTAACCGAGAATAAAAGCGAAGAACACTGATTGGTTGGTGAACCAAGGTGTTGGCCTGATAAAAGATGGCTGGAGCAGTCAAAACTGGGAAAAACGATGGCTATACATAGTGATGTGTTCAGAATGTGAGGATGGTGAATTGAACCAGCGATATTTTGATTTGTACAATGATGTTGCAGCAATACAGACTTATTTAAACTACAAAAACAAAACCAGGGTGCATGCGGCAAGGCAACCTGATTAACTCCCCTGTCTTATGATTTATATAAATAAGTCATGACATTTTAGCCAAAATGGAAAGACTCTTCAGTTACGTTCAATAATGGCACATTAAGGCAAACTAGACTTTGAGATTTCATTACAATGTGCTATCCTTTTTAGTTGTTGCTGTTGTTGGTAGTCCTCAAGTTCTGTTATTTGGTACAATTCTTTGTTTATGATTCTGTTCCACAATGTTCAAAGAAGGATTGTCTTTGCCAAGACTCACAAGCTTCATTGATTTTGAAAGCAGTTGTATACTGTTGACAGTTTAGGTATTTCTAAACAGCTTTGGTATCATGCATGGCATCCATATTAAAGTTTCAATCTGATGAGGCTATTTAAAAATATGACTCAAGTTTTCAGGTTGTTTTATTTTTATAACAACTTCTGGTGTTGGGTAAAACTACATCTAGCATAACACATTCTATGTTCAATTTTCTTTTCTCGTCTACTAAATTTGTTACAACTGATTGAGACATTTGAAATGTATAGTATTTACTAATTTGTCGCATTGATTCTGAAGTAAACATGTTATTAACTGGTGTAATGTTAAATAAGGCTAGTCTGAAGGCAGGAACTTGGGAAGTGTAAAAATAATTTTACAATTGTGGTTTAATTTGGTCTAGACATCTTTTAGAAGATGAAAACAAGCATAATTCCATCAGGTGTTACTGGAGCTGACAAATGTGTGTTTACTTTCCCATGGGTGGTAGATTTGTTTGTTGGCCTGAGGATAATTTTTTTCATAATCTCAGTTTAAGAAATTTATATGCAGCATTCACTGTTGCTATTCAGCTTCTGACAATGATAATGAGTGTTGTGGCTGTTTTAAACCATATATTTTCTCTTCCTGATGACAATTACGGCATAATATATATATATATATATATATATATATATATATATATATATATATATATATATATATATATATATATATATATATATATAAGTGGCATTCTGTTAGTGTGTCTGCATGTCTGTGTGTTTGTCACCTTGTTACCTCATCCTGTGCAAACTGTTCATCCAATTGGCATGAAAATTCGCACACAAATCGGAAATCTACAGCATTAGTACTTGACGTCTTCAGATCTTTCGATTGTTCCTCCGATTTTGGAAAAAATTGATAAAACCTATAGGGTGTTAAATATTGATTCGAAAAAATTCATCAGTTTTTCAGTGATAGTTTTCACAAATTACAAGTGATATCCACCAAACTCTTTGTTTTTTAAAATTGATATCACTTATTGGAAAAAAATCGATAAAATCGATCACATTGGGACATCTGATTTAAATCCAATGTAGCTGATTTTTGGCTCTGTTTTTTGCAAACTGCAAGGAATTTTCCCGAAAATCATGTTGAGCATTAGTTTTAATCAACAGTTATTAGTTGCTGACCTTTTTCTTTAATATCGGTATCAATTATCGGGAAAAATTGATAACATCATGCCATTTTTGACTTCCAATTTAAATCCAGTCAAGCTGATTTTTGGCTATGTTTTTCACAAATGGCAAAGAATTTCCACCAAAATTACGTTGAGCATTGTTTTTATCAACAGTTATGAGGTACTGACATTCATTTTCAATATCAATATCAATTACTGGAAAAAATCGATACAATCGATCACTTTGGGACATTCGATTCAAGTCCAGTCTAGCTGATTTTTGGCTATATTTTTTGCAAATGGCTAGGAATTTCCACCAAAATTCCCATTGAGCATACTATTTACCAACAGTATTGAGGTGCTGACTTTCATTTTCAATATCGGTTTCAATTATCGGATAAAAATTGATTAAATCATACCCCTTTTGACTTCCCATTCAAATCGAGTTTACCTGAATTTGGCGATGTTTTTCACGACTTGCTTGGGATTTTGATTAACTTTATCAGCTTTAGTCGTGACAATTAAAAACTTTTGTCCTGTGAGCTTCTTTTGTGACCAACTAATACCTGAGAGAAGTTGATACAATCATGTCTTCATTGGAATTTGCAAATACACTAATGAAACATATATTCTACTGAGACATCTACACTACCCACTCTACAGCAGATTGTTATTCACACACACATGACCATGCCTCAAATAGCGGCATCTCATTGGCTGAGTGCAGTATGCGGTCGCTGATTGGTGTTCAAGACACTAGGATGCTTGCTGATTGGCACAACTGGTTGGCCAGTAAGACTTCGCATTTGAACCTGCTGTGCACAGCTGTGGGACGAAGGTCTCATTTCTGCTCCTGTTAAGCCGCCATCCAGTTGATGCAATAGACTCCTTCAACAGAACATTTCTCCTGCCACAAGTTGTTTCTTACATTTTTGTTTTCCGTTTGTCTGTTTAACTACATTTTTCCAACTACCATAAACAATTTATTCAGCTGTTTTACTTAAATACCTGCCTTCCTGATTCTGGCTAACACTTTGCAATACTAAGTTAGACTTTGTACTCCTACAATTGAGCAACCCTAATCAACCATTACTAGCATCACTTTTCATGCTGCCAAAAAGGAGGGTACATCTTAGCCTTCACTCTGCAAGAGTGTCCGCTATGAGGGCAAGAAGGCCTGCGAGTCCCGGGAGCAGACTACAATGTGACTATCACAGTCGCTCAACACAGCACTCTCACATAGGCCTCGCAGTTATAAGAGGAGCATGCCACTTACTTGGCTGAGAAAGCTGCCTACTGGGTTTTTTTTGCGATCAAGGCTCAAGAATGAACTACGGTCAAGAATTAATGCACAGGCTGAAGCAACCGCCTCTGCATCTCAGGCTTCTTTGTAACGTAAGAAACACTGCTGCCACTGTGAAATCAAGGGCAATAGAGACACTTGACCGCAGACACACTAAACTATCCAGGGAAACTGCTGCAACAGCGAGTGGTAGGGTTGTTGAAACACGGCTCCATAGGTCTGTGTGAAATGCTATGAATGCTGCCACCACTGCCAGGTTGAGGGCAGTAGAGACACCTGCTTGCAGGCGAACCCGTCAATTCAGAGATGCTACGGCAATAGCGACCGCTAGGGCTGCTGAGAGACCACTCCGTAGATCTTTTCAAAATGCTACAAATGCTGCGACCACTGGCAGGTCAAGGGCAGCTGAAACATTCGACCACATGCGCGCACATCAATCCAGGGACGTTGCTGCAACAGCTAGGTCGAGGGTGTCCGAGACAGAGCTGCAGCAGGCAACCTGCAATTCCCGCAATGCTGCAGCGACTTCTGCTGCCAGAAACTCCAAGGGCCCAAAGACAAGAGCAAAAAGTCTTTCTTGGGCTGCAAACATGGCCACTGTGCGCTTATCTCAAACTCCCCAAGCTCACCACATATGCCTAGACAGCAACATTCAGTGTTTTGCCGCCCGTGGTGTTCCCTGTCCCAGTAGCTGTTTTTGGTCTTTCTTGGCTTTCAATTACGACCCTGGCATTAACTTAACTATGCATGACAACATCAATGTAGGGTCCATGAACGGCATTTGCCAATTCTGCAACGCCCACAAATGGGCCGGGGAAGCCTGCTGCTCTGTGCTGTTTTTCGTGCAATGTTCCACTGCCACCTCTGCATGAACCACCTACCCCATTGAGGGCACTAATAGCTGGCTCCCATTCCACTCCAACCACTTCCTTAAAACAACTCCTCCTTTCAAATGACCTCATTTGGGGCTCAGGTGGTTTGAAAAAGAGGGTTGGATGCCCACTTTCAAAGTACAGGAGCAGGTATACCACTGCATTGGGTCTCTGCTGCCTGACGAGACCTCTATGCCTAAATTCCTTAAACTGTACTTTATTGCAGACTACAACCTATAGGCAGAAACCTGGATTGGTGTTTTGCTGCCGTCGGGAAGAGTTCCTTGCAGGGACGTCATTCTTTCCGTCAGCATTGAAATTGACGCCGACAAACAGCCTCGTGATGAAGACGAACGCCACTACAATGCTCCTGTGTGCAACGAGATATTGTCCTCAAATCAAGAGTTGGCACTCTTCGCAGAATTTCAGAGGCCTATCGATCATATGACGCACTGCAGTACCCTTTACTTTTCCCTTATGGTGACAATGGCTACTACTTCGGCTTTCCCCTTCATACTCCAGGTGGCCAACCTATAACATCTTCCAAAGTCTTATTGTGCAAAGCCTTCTACTCATACCTGTTCATGGTTAGGGATGTAGACTTCAACCTGCTTCATAGATGCATGGAGCTTTTCCACCAATTTGCAGTTGAAATGGCCGCTAAGATGGAATCAGAGAGGCTTTGTTTTATACAGAATCATCAGAAATAGCTGTGCTCTGACTCCTACATACACTTACGCAACAGCCTTCAAAATGAAGTCAATCCTCACGACCTAGGGAAGCTGTACATTCTGCCCTCTACCTAAACTGGGGGGGCACGTTACATGCATAAACATACACAGCAATATTACACTCACCGACATGACATTACCGCTCATGTATTCCGCTTAAAACTGGGAAAACTTATGGACTTAATAGTGAAGGGGCAGATTTTCGGTCCTGTTAAATGTGAAATGTACACTGTTGAGTGGAAAAAAGGAGACTACCCCATACTCAGATACTCATTTGGCTTTCTACAAAAATTGACACCAGTCAAATTGACAGCGTCATTTGTGCCAAAATTCCTGATCTAGATGTAGACAGGGACATATTTGATGCTGTGAGATCCTACATGGTCCATGGGCCATGTGATCCAGGCTACGAGGCACACCCCTGCTGTCAAAAGGTGCACCATGCTCTAAGGGGTTTCCTGAAATATTTGTTGATGAGATGCAAACCGGTGGGGACGGATATCCTTTGTACCGGCGAAGGGCTCCAGCCAGGGGCGGGCGAACGATGCAAGTTGGGGGGGGGGTACCATGTTGACAACAGTTGGGTGGTCCCCTTTTCCTAAAAATATTCAATGCTCATATAAACGTTGAGTTCTGCAATTCCATCTGCTCCATTAAATGCATATGTAAGTATGTTAACAAGGGCAGCGATGCTGCCATGTTCAGCGTTAAGGGGGACAACGGCCGAGATGAAGTTTCGCAGTACTTGGCTGGGCGGTACCTCAGCAGCAATGAGGCTTTTTAGTGCGTTTTCATCTTCCCAATTCACCAGAGGCATCCAGCAATCATACAGCTGGCAGTGCACTTAGAGAACGGACAGTGGATTTACTTCACTGAATGAACTGCTATCGCTGAAAACCCGAACGACACAACTTTAACAGACTTTTTTAAATTGTGTCTTCATGATGAGTTCACTCGAACTTTGCTATATCCACAAGTTCCATCATACTACATTTGGGCGAAGGAAGTCTGGCCAGAGCGTTGATGGGTACACTGGCGTTGTTTGACACCTGCCTTGGTCGGGTCTACATTGTTGTTGGTCTGACAAGCTTTGAGGCCATTTGGACTGTTGACGGCATCATGTGCAACACCTACCGGGAGGCTTGCCTTAAACGTGGCCTTTTGGAGGATGATTCTCAGTGGGATGCTGCCATGGCAGAAGGAACTCTCTTACAGGCACCTGTGACCCTTCGATTCTTATTCGCGATCTTAATAGTAAGATGCAAAATAAGTGACCCCCCCGTTTTATGGGCTAAGTACAAAGACTTCATGTCGAAAGACATTTTGTACGTGACACAGCAGCAATGTCTGTCAGCCAAGTTGGGCTACACAGACCTTATTTACAATAGGGCGCTCATTCATGTTGAAGACATTGCTCTTGAAATGGGTGGAGCTGTGCTAACTACATACAGGTTTCCTCCGCCAGTGCAAGATGGCACCACCGACTTATCACCAGAAATACTGCGTGAAATGTCTTTTTGAACAGCTATCCTACCAGAACAAAGAACAGCTTACACCACGGTGATTGACATCGTCCAGCGTGGTGGCATCTTCTTCCTAGACACACCCGGTGGTACTGGGAAGAAGTTCGTTACAAAACTAATTCTAGCTGAAATCAGCTTGCTGTTACCTCATCCAGGATTGTGGTCACATTGCTGCTGAGCAGACAGACAGCGCATTCTATGTTTAGACTTCTGCTTGACCTTGCCAAGGCTGAAATTCCAACTTGCTTCAGGTCAGGCTGACGTATTAAGACGTTGTGAACTCATAATGTGGGACGAGTGCATTCAAGGCATTGAATAGGTCCCTTCAAGACATTAGGGACTCCACTGCTCTCATGGATGGCTTGACTCTCCTTCTGTCAGGTGACTTTCTACAAACCCTGCCTGTCATTCCTAAAGGGGGAAGGGCTGATGCTGTTCGTGCGTGCCTTAAGTCGTCCAACCTCTAGGTCCATGTCCAGTCATTGCACCTGACCACCAACATGCGCGCTCATACTATTGGGAACAACAGGTCCGCTGATTTTTCAAGGTTGGGTGTCCTGTCGATGGATTTGTAGATGTAATCATCCCCGGGAATGCACTGCAGGCGTTGCACATTAATGCTAGTAACTGTAGTGTTTTTGGAGCAAGGTCATAGTAGTTGGCACTAAGATGCGGAAAGATGGCATCTCTGAGCTGTTGATGGGTGTCAACAACTGAACACAGTGTTCCCACATTAATGTAGCCTTCTGCATCTGAAGGCGTTCGGCCCTCCCCGAGGGTGTTGAAATTATGAAGATCGTATAAGCATGGAACAGACAGTTACCATATAATCTGGAATGATCAGCTGTTGAATAAAAAAAGTATGCTTGAAACCTCAGTTCCACTCACTTTTAACAAAATGCTTCTTGACTTCATTTGACTTCATCAACACATTCATCTAACCAATTCCACTCATAAACCTTGGGTCAACCAAAAAGTATGCTTTTTAAACCCTTCCCAGTGGTGCTGCATGCTGGGATCTTCTCATTTCTTGATAAATTGACCATGGAAAAATTTGAACTCAGGTCTCATGCTCAGAAGATTAGCATTCTCACTACTTGGTCATGTACACAAAGCATATAATAATGATAATAATAATGATAATAATACTAATGATAATAATGATAATGATGATAAAAATAATGATGATAATAATAATAATGTAATAATAATGAAATTAATAATGATAATGATATTAATAATAATAATGATGATAATAATAATGATAATTTTTCATTTAAAAAAAAATGACAAAATACCTAAAATTGCCCTCCAATGGAATTAGAACTCATATACTAGATCTTTGAATATTTTCTCTCATGGACATGCTTTAAAATATACTCCAATTTGCACAGATGAATGAATAATAGCTTGTTTGAATTTTGCAGTTGTGTTGTCATATCCTGCTATGACAACAGAAAATTGTCATAAGTGAAATTAAGTAGTGCAGTAAAGGAGCCTTAAAAAATGCAGTGGAAAGGAAAGTGGTGAATGATGCAGAGTGTTAAAGGTTAATCATTTCAGTCATGAAGGCTCTAGTGTGTAAGTGAAGCACAGTCTTTCTGTCCTATATACCTTTCTACTCATTTGCCTTTTTGATGCACTAAGCCAAGTCAATATCAACAATAAAATCATATTGAATGTCTGGACCAAGTGACAGCTGAAGAAAGGCAAAAATGGCAGAGCTGGTTTGATATTAAAATGGCTTCCCTCATTTATCAATTTCATTGTATGTATTTTTTACTTATCTTCTCTATACAGCAGAGAAATGTCAATGTGATAACAGCCGAAAGTTTACTATTTCTACCTCAAGAAACATTTAAAGACTAATCCGGTTATCCTAAACTGACTGGCTTATGACTATATCACATTGGTTCTCATATAATCACAAAAGTGAAGCAATATCAAGTCAAGTCAGTACATAGATGGGTAACCGTTTTTGAATATGAAGTGATGTCATCTGTTGTAACCTAGGGAAGGTTACTGAATAGAATAATCAAATGAAGGTTGATAATGAACAATAATACTTAGGACAAGAACAAGACATATAAGATTTGCTAGCTGCATGCATAAGTAGTCAACTGCTAGAAGAGAGTCAAGTGAATTCCACAATGAATCTCTAACTGCAGACGGTATCTACCAACTGCCCCATGCAGTCAGATGTGGCACAAGGTCAAATTTAATGTGGGGTTCCCAATCCCATAGGCTCAGCCCAAAATTTCCCATAGATCCCGTATAAAACGGGGTCGGGCAGGTGTTTCTCGAAAGGCAGAGAGCTTAACCAGCCCAGATAAATCTCCAACTGCAGACCGCAGGATACCTACCAACCAACCCACATGGTCAGATGAGACACAAGGCTGAATTTAATGTGGGGTATCCTAGCCTGTAGGCTTGGCCAAAAATTTCCCGTAAACCCCATATAAATCGGGATCAGGTAGCTGAGATGAGACTCTGCCCTTCGGCATAGCCTCATTTGGGGATCCTCTCTGCCCAGAGGCACAGAGTTCGACCAGCACAGCTGGAGATGAATCTCTGACTGCAGACCACAGACCAACACATATATTATTCACTACTGTATTTATAGGAATGGGGGTATACTCATTATCCGTCCATAGGTATGCTAATACATAAGCTTTGATGTGCAATTTATATAAGGGATAATGGCTCAGAATTGTGAATCATGCAGCAGTGTTTCAATTCTTTTTGGGTTTGTTATATTCATTTACTTGCAAATACCCCTGGGGAAGATGTGATTCCATCTCTTCTCACTAGCTATGCATTAATTAGTAAGACTTGTATTACTAAATCATTAATATCTCAAGCAAAAAAAAATTCTTACAATCTAAAAATATTTTCTAACTTTAAATAACCAGCAAAGGATTGATAATCCATAGAAAATGAATCAATTTATCAACTGACCCTTCACTAGATTCTTGACAAAATCCAGAAAAGGGTCTACAATACAATCAGGCATCTTGACTTCAATCACTTTTTCACCGACATGATGTGGCTTCCTTCTATTTGTTCTACAGATATTTCCATGGTAACTGTTCAGATCAGTTAGTTCTTCTGGTGCCCAGATTACATGGATTTTAAGCGTGCTTCTAGACTGGCAACTAGGTTTCACCATTTTACTATTTGAACTTGCTAGATGCCACTTCTACTCAGTTTCTTTTCTTGCACATTCCACCTGTGGAGATCCCTTCTGATTTCTTGCTTCCCTGATAACTACAATCTTCAGAAA